TTTTTGTTCTTTTCTATTTCAGAGACAGACATGTATTTATTTTGTTCAGACCCTGTTTGTAGTATTCTTAGATATTCCGTGAGATTGTGACACCAGCTCTGGGTGGTTTATGTTTATGGATTCATATTGGTATTAGTTAAATTATTAAATTTCGTTCTTCCGCATTATCATTTCCACTGTTTATAATATGTTAACTTGCGCTTGTTAAGAGGTTAAAAATGAAAAGGGTAAATTAATCGAAATAGTTGGTTTTCCTAGCGTTCACTAGTAGGCACCATCACGACTCCCGAGGGTGGAAAATCCAGGTCGTGACATTGCAGTAGGAAAAGGAACAGTAACTCAGCAAATAACAACTCCGTAAGTCCTATTTTTTAAAAATAGGGCAAAGATCACTTTTAGCCTGCGATATAAATTGGTAGCCAAAAAAATATATAAAATTTGTATATTTATTTGTATATAACATACACTATATATATATATATATATATATATATATATATATATATATATATATATATATATATATATATATATATATATATTGAAAACAGCTATACAGTGTTATTTTCCCTTAAAAGGACAAATATGTGACGTTTTCTTTCTTAATTCTTAAAAAAATTTATATTTAAAACTCTCTAATTCTAAGACTTTTCCCCCTTTAAAGAATATTTCCAGTTTCGTTTCATATGCATTATTTTTTACTGGGTAAAGAATTTATAAAATACTAATAATTCTTGACACGTATGAAAAAACAACCTTAAAACTTGTAGTTTTAAATATGCACGACGTTCTTATGCCTAAAACAATATGTCATTAAAGGGAAACTGTAAAATTTAAAGTTAAAAAGTTTACAAATATAAAATATGTTATCTTTTTATAAGGAACTAAAATAGAGAGTGTCACATAAAACGAATTAAACTCAAGGTATTAGATATTAGAAACATTTTTCATATTCTATGTACATGTAACTTATATAATTACTGTTATAAATAGAATTTTATTTATGGTGAATGTCTATATTTAGAGAGATTCTAGGGTTTATTACTTGGTGGCTAAGTCAACCTCTCCCTATAAATAGAGGGTTCTATTCTATTGTAATTCATCCCAAATCAATAAGAATTCTCTCTCCCTACTTTTCTTTGCAATACTTTTCTTCTTCTTTTATTATTTTATAACACGTTATCAGCACGAGACTCTAACCAATTGAGTAGAAGCTTTGGGATTGAGCATAATGATTGTCAATTATTCCATGAACTTCCTTCATGATTAAATTCTGGATTTAAGGTAAGTATTTTACCGTATTTTTCTCTTTTATTCTATACTTTGATTTTATATACAAGTCAAGACAACAAA